ACATCCATGCGCTCGACCCTTCAAGCCTTGATCTCTTGAGCTTCTTGCTCGACCTCTTATTCCATTGTGCATGTCGGTACCCTCGTATACGTGCTCGTGCAAGTCTCTTAGGCCATGCAAGCCTCGTTTGCGCTCTTTAAATGTGTTGCCCCTTCGCTTTTAGACGTTCTTCTTCGCAATCAGGCTTCACGTTTTGACATTTGTCGAGCTTCCACGCTAACCACATGGATGTTTGCTTTCACAGTCGGGCTTCTACGGAGTACGTTTGTTTGGTTCTTAAGCTTCCTGGACGTATGCTTCCACAATCGAGTTTTGTTGTTAGATGTTTGAATGTCTTTTTCTCCTCTAGTTATTTTTTTTCCTTTTTTTGTAAATTTATAATTTTTTATTATTTTCTTGAGCAACAGATTATAATTTGGGCCGACAATTAGCAACCATGAATGTGTCTTGACATAATTGTAACACTGTTGATGGTTACACAAGACGGGATATACTGCTGCGCCTCTTCAGCCGTGCATGCATAGTCAACCTGTGCTCAGTGCGAAAAAACGACTAGCTCAAAAGGAGTCGAAACTAGAAAGAAATTTATAATTGTAAACATTCATTATGCTATTCATGCTACAATACGTCCAACTTGTCCCAATGAACAAAACAACATTTGTTTCTCGCACCATAGGTATTAGCACATGTGGAAAATCGAGAAATAAGAAATTTGATTGATCTCTTTAGCCCATAAGATTTCACACCATATTTGAGAGTCAATGCACATCCTTTCAAATAGATACAGGAGTGAAAAGAAAAGAAAAACATTCCTGGATGATAAGAAAAGGACAAGAGATTCACATTGCCAATACATATTGATCGAGTATCCGACTCTTCCTATGGAGGGGGAACGAGTGTCCATTTCCCCGTTGGTTAACTTCTCCGTCTTTGTGTTGTTGGAGTCGGTAACCTTTGTAACCAGTTGGTTACTCGGTTCTACTCTTCGTTTGAGTTCTATGTTATTGTTTCTTTTGCCGTTGGAAAAGAAAACAAAAAAATTAACATACAGGCCCCACAATCACA